ATATAGTTTCCATCCTCAGGTTTTTCTCTTTGTGCTGTAACTTAGAAAGGGCTGTCTCTTTCAACATTCACTGTGGTATGCTACTGTTACTCAAGGCTTGTTAGCCTATGGTAGGGGTGGGTGTGAGAAGGTGATTTCTGTTGTGGATAAACCTCAAGTCACTTTCTTTCCATCCTGCTCTTGCTTTTATTTTTCCAAGTACAGCTGAGGCAAGGCTATAATTTTCAAAAAAAATTCCACTATCAGTTCAGAGATAACAGAAAGGAATTATAAAGGAAAAAATAATTACTAAGTCCCTGTAAATGTTACTATACTCAAGGCCCAAAACCCAAACTAAACATTTTGCCTTCATCACCACCACACCAGGTGAAAGCTTATTTTCCAAAATAGAGATAAAAAATCTCCTTACCTTAAACTCCAGGCCAAACTAACTCTCAGGACCCTAGTAAGATGAGAAAATTACCAATTCTAAAATCTAAAGCCTTACAAGTTCTCAGTTCCTGTACTAGTATAGTTCTTTTTCTAGGATAAATGACAGTGAGACATACTCCTTGAGATTAAGTCCAAACCCCAGGGATCTGATTTGCCTCAAGGCTCCCAAGAGGCAATTGCACAATAATCCATCATCAATGTATTTCCATCATCTGGTCATTCAGAAGTCATGGAAGTCAATAGCCCAATCCAGTATCTTCTAGATTAAACCTAATCCATTGGTCTTCAAGTCTCTGCTCTAGCCAGAGATGGAAAAGGTACCAGGCATGCAGGTCTTTCCTCTGATCATCAGGATCTCCTTTCCTAACCAACCATGAACAACTGCCTAAATGAGAACAGAAACAACCTTGGAAGAAGAAGCAGTAATTTATGCACATAATCAAAAACCAATACTTGACCCATTGCTGTTGAGTTGATTCCGACTCATAGGACAGAGTAAAACTTTCTCATAGAGTTTTCAATGAATGACTGGTGGATTGGAACTGCTGGTCTTTGGGTTTGCAGTCAAGCTCTTAACCACTGTGCCACCAGAGCTCCATTTATGCACGTGGAGCAGTTCAAATTCATATTGAGAACAAGACTACATCCAAAGAAATGACAAATCCTGATGAGAAATGATACAGCTTAATGATGCATCTATTTATATTACGAAATGGAATACTTCTCATTAAGAAATATCTGCATTTAAGTTGTTCCGCTTCATTCATGTGTTTTTCAAGAACAAGGACATACACTTATTTTATAAGTACAAATTTTTAAAATACTTTTTCCTCATTTTATCTTGGAGCAAGTAAAGTCTCAGGCAGGCAAATCTGTTACGCAGTTTGGACAAAAATTGACTGGTTGGCCAACTGCTCATATTCTCCTGCTGAGGTTGTGAAAGTCCATTAAATTGTTCTGGAAACCACCACATCACTATCTGAACAACGTGCTTATTTACCTCACCAGGAAAACCCCAGTCACATGTTGCTAGTATCTAGTAAAAGTGGCAAAGTCAGGTGAGTTTGAACAAGATGCTCATGGTTTTCCTATTTTATTTTTCATTTTGATGGGAAATGTGTTGTTTTATGCTGCCAGTGAACAAAAACTACTTATGCTTACAATTTCTATAGCTGGTTTTATGTAATTTTTGACAGTTTCTCACATTTTAGAATCCTGTGGGAGAGTTTTGGATGTGAGATAAAATTCTTCCTCCTATACTCCCAACATCCTCCAATGCCTCACAGAGATCTTAGGTGCTGCTGAGGAACTAGTAGGGCCATTAGGACGTAATGCAGCTCTAGTGATGGGTTTGAAACCAGCTAGCAGTAGGCACAAGTTATTGCTGTGCTCTACTATTTTAGTGACTCAACCACCTTATGTCTCTGCTTCTCCCACTTCTGCTGTTAAGAGCGAACTAATTTCTACTCTCTTTCTGCTCCATGGCTTCTGCTATCTCACGTCCTCTAGTGTTTCATGACATCTGACAGTACCTCATAGAAGTTAAAAATGCAACTCTGGGGATCTGGGTTCAAGTCCTGCCTCTGCAATTTACTAATTCTATTACCTTAGCTAATGTATTTATCCACCCTGTGCCTCAGTTCCCTTATTTGAAAGTGGTAACTACCTCAAAGAGTAATTCTGAGGGTTAAATGGATTAATGTATATAAAGCACTTGAAACAGTGTCTGGCATGTAGTAAGTCCTCAATAAATGTTAGCTATTGTTATTCTGGAGTCCCTGAGTGGTACAAACAATTAATGCACTTGGCTGCTAACAGAACGGTTAGAGGTTTGAGTCCACCCAGAGGCATCTCAGAAGAAAGCCCCGGTCATCTACTTCCAAAAAATCAGCTATTGAAAACCCTATGGAGCACAGTTATACCTTAACACACGTGGGGTTGCCATGAGTCGAAGTCAACTCAATGGCAACTGGTTTATTTTTATTCTGTGTGTCTCTTATATCCACCTCAGACCCAGAGACTTTCCACTTTGCTGCAGAAGAAAATTGCCTATGGTGCATATAAGCTTCCCCCTCCCTTCTTGTCTTCCTCAGGGTTTTTCATGCCCTCTTCCCTTCTGGTGGCCCCTCGTGCCTCTTGCCTCTGGCCGACCTCCTGCTGTGGGGAACCGTCTCCTGCATGCAGCTGTCAATGCACTGCCCCAATAAATAGCTTGTTGTACAACACTATCTCACTATCTCGTGGTCATATAATTTTCCTTGATCATCGACAAATTCCCTCAAACTCACTACAAATCCCTGGGGCAGAAATGAGCAATCCTAGACACAGTCATATAAGGTTAAACAGCATTTTCAATGGGCATCATGGAAAGATATAAAGAAGTATTATGAAGGCTGGTTCAGCAGATCACCATCAAGGATGTCAGGAGGGTTATCCAATCAGAAAAGTCTTAAGTGAAACAAATCTTGAATCTGGTTACTTTTTTTTTTTTAATAAGATTGGAAGTGTTGATGGACACTGTCTTGGTCATCTAGTGCCGCTATAACAGAAATACCACAAGGGGGTGGCTTTAACAAAGAGAAATTTATTTCTTCACAGTAAGGTCCAAATTCAGGATGTCAGCTCCAGGGGAATGCTTTCTATCTCTGTTGGCCCACTCATCAGTCTTCCCTGGACTAGGACATGCTCCTGCTCCCAGCACTGCTTTCTTCATGGTATCAGTTCCCCCATTCTCTGCTTGCTTCCCTTTCCTTTTATCTCTTGTAAGATAAAAGGAGGTGCAGGCCACACCCTAAGGAAAATCCTTTTACATTGGAACAGAGATGTGACCTTCGTAAGGGTGTTATACAATCCGTCCTAATCCTCTTTAACATAAAATTACAATCACAAAATGGAGGACAACGACACTATACTGAGAATCATGGCCTAGCCAAATTGATACACACATAATTCAATCCATGACAGACAAACTCAAATATGTTTTTAACTTCCTGTGTGGGATAGCACAAATGAAGCCCATGGAGAGAGTCACAGTGCAATCAGGGACTGCTTCCTTTGGACACTGGTGCATCTCTCCTTGGCCCCTTTTCTGGCCAGTCAAGAATGCAAACCTCAGGTGGATTCAAACCTGTGACTTTAAGCTGTCAATTTGTCAGTCTGAGATTTCATCAGTATTGTTCCTGCCTACATTGCACTTGAGGTTCTTTCTGTTCAATTCAGCAAATTTTATTGAGTACTTACTGTATACAAGGCAATAGGAACTTGAATCTTAGCAAGTGAGTTACGATGACAAGGCTCAGATGGAAACAAGGCAGTTCAACTCCTCGTGACTACTCATAATCATTCAAGCTTGCAGCCTCATTCACTCTTTTTTATTTTCGGGTATGTATTTACACTCACTACAGAAGACTAATAAAGTCTCCAGGACTTTATGGAGAGCATTTTACTTCTCCTTACCACCTCTGCTTGAACTGATAACTGTAGTTTGTGATCCAGGATCCCCCTTAAGATGGAGCTGGCGCGCCTGATACCTTTCACCTTAGCTGAAATAACGTGAATCCAAGCTAAAAGTACCCAGACTGCAACTTGTATCTGTAATTTGTTTAGGTACGGAGGAGAGAAAACCCATTATCACACTGGTAACTTCAGAACAAAATCTCAATACTCAGTCTACCATAGTTCCTATGTATGAGATTGAAAAAAGTCTTTATTTAAAGGTATGAAAAATTGCAAAATCGGGTAGGTGGGGGAAAGGGATAATATTTGTTCTTGGGTGCAGAGACTTCTGATGCTTATCATAAACTGGGGATTCAGGATAGTAAGTGCTTCTAGGGGAAGAGTAAATACTGAGGAAGAGAAAATTTTAGAAGGACAGCATTCAGTCTGATTCTTAAAAAGATCACTTGAAATTCTAGGACAAAAATTACGTTGTAACCAGAGAAAAACCATGATAATGTCTGAAATTTTTTAGAAGAAAGAAATATGAGTTTTTAAATAATTCTTTTCACACTTGAGAGGTGTTAGAAAATCTAGTAAGCCAAGAAAAGGGAACAAAGGTAGAGAGAACTGGAGAGAATAACATTGTATGTGTATATATCCACCTCAGCGGACCTATAACAAGGAAGCTGGAAAACCAAGTGACGTTAAAAGGACACTGTGATAATGCGGTTTTCAGTTATCAATATTTGCTGAAATGTTTTATGTCTTCTTTACGGTTGGAGGGAGCAGAGTAGGGAAACAGCTAGGTGACACATAGGCTAGAGACTTGATCTAGACCTGAGCAACCCTGCATCCTTCAGGTATTTAACTGCTCTGTTCCTTAGAGCCCATGGTGGGCTGCATATCTCAGACTCCCTCTTCTGTAGATCACACAAGCTGATAGCCAAACAATGGTAGCTGGGGACACCAGGAGCAGCTGGGAGGGCCAAGATTCTATTCTGGGGCTCACTTTTTATCTGAGGATAAAAAGAATCAGGCGACATAAAATTTTCATGTTTCTGTGTTTGTTTTCTGTTTTTATTCTGTTGTATGTTCATTGTTTTTGTGTTGTCTCTTATAGCATACTAATCATGAAAACAAATATGACAAATCAGAAGACACTGTTGGTACTGTTGTTTATATTAGCCTCCTGGATCATTTTTACAGTTTTCAAAAACTGCACACAGGTAGGAGTTGCTTTCTTTCTGTGTTTTATAAAAGCCTGTTTTCACTTGATACCTTGCCTGTCCTTGTAAAGTCCAAAATACAAAACCTATAGACTGCAGTGGGGAGCTCCAGCAGCTTACAGACAGATACTAAAAGAATCAAAGTGCCTAATAATATTTTTTTTTAATGAGACAGAATAATATTGTGTGTGTGTGTATATATATATATATGTATATATACACATATTCTTCTTTGTCACTTATATATGTGTTATAATTATCTTCTCCCAACATTTTGCTTGTCTTTTCACTTTCTCTAGGGACTTCTGAAGAACAGAGTATTTTCATTTTTATATAGTAAAATTTATCTGTCTTTTTGATAGTTAAGGCCTTTTTTAGTCTTGTTTAAGAAATTCTTCCCTACTTCGATGTCAGATTATTTATCTAAATATTTTACTTAATGTTTCCAAGTTTGTTATTGATATTTAATTCCTTAATGCATATAAACTGATCTGTGTGTTTGTGTGTGTGTGTGATTTTCCTTGTAATTCCATATGGATAACTACTTTTTTTTACCTCTTTTTATTTTGTAGTTCCTTCTTTCCCAGGTTATTTGACATACCACTTTTGTTGTATATCAAAATTTCAAATAAGTGCAGATCGCTCTGGCCTCTTTGTTCTATTCCATTGATCAATTTGTCTTTCCTGTGCCAATACCACATGGCTGTAATTAATATAGCTTCATAATTAGTCCTGAAAACTGGTAGTGCAAATTACCCTTCAGAGGGTTCTTGGCCAGTCCTGGCCCTTTACTCTTCCTAATACATCTTAGAGTCAGTCTACTAAATTTGATAAAAGATCCTAATTAAATTATATGTGCATCACATTAGCCAGGTAGATCAACTTGGGAAAAAAACACCCTGATATGTTTATAATATTGTTTTTCTATTTCCCAGTATCTGATATCTCTCCATTTATTTAGATTTTGCTCAAGTTCTTTCAGTAAATTTTATAATTTGTTGCGTACATATCTTAAACATCTTTTGTTCAATTTATACTTAGTATCTAGGTACGTTATAATATTTTGTTGTTATTGTAAATGGTGTCCTTCTTTATGTTGCTGGTGTAGAGCAATGCAATTGCCTTTTGCATATTGAACAGCAAGATTTTACTTTCGAAGATGTCTAATAGATTCATATTTTACAGATACAATATCATCTAACATTACTCTAAGGTTCTGTTTTGCTCTTTCGATGGCTTTTGTTCCCGTGGATGTCCTTTCTTTACTGAACTTGATACCTCTCTTTCTTGAGTTGGCTTTCAAAAATTTTTTGCTAATTCTTAGTTGTGTGCACATCCTTATATTCAAGTGGTAGCAAGTCTGTAGATTCTGTTACCTGTTTACTCCAGCTTGTTTGTAACAGTACAAAAAAAAGCACCACAGGGCAATGCATGCTCCCTATACATCTCAGGTGTTGCCAGGCACACAGGACCTTGCTCCGCTTCTCCAATTTTAATGCTGGTATTTTTTACTCCCAACTAAGTACAGAAATCCCTGTTACAAACTGCCTGAGACAGAACCAGATGGGGAGATAGGGAGGCATCAACCTGCCTGGCTTGTCCTCCTGTGGGCTGTCCCATTACCCTCTTTTGCGCCAATATCCCTGGAGTGCCTTCTTTCACAGAACCCTCATCTAGATGTGTCTGGAGCCATGGTTTTTGTCCTTGATCTATTCTCATCTGTCTTTCATTTTTTTTAGGTGATTCTTCATATTTTCTGGCCCAATTAAATCTTCTCTTCCTAATTCCCAGAACAGGTAGAGATTTTTAAAGTCCCTTTCTGCCTTTTATAGGATTTTATGGTGGGAAATTTAGGCTGCAACATATGCTTAGTGCACATGAATTTTCCAGTTTTATTTCTATTAAAAATTCTGCGCACAGAAAATTATTCAGCTCTTCTAAAAAAATCACTTATGTTTTTTATTTGCAGTTGTAGCAATTTAAAAAATCTGGTAATGCAGTGTAATGGTTAAAAGATATTACTATGAGGGATTCTGGGAAGATGGCATAAGCAGACCATCATTCTGATCCTCCCCCAAAAATACAACAAGGAAATGGTGCTCAGCTTTGAGGGACTCTGAATCTGGGAGTAGAAGAAAGCAGCAGGAAACTGCAGACAGACAAGAATCAACAAATCAATAATGAGTTGCATATAGTAGGAAAATCGCTTCTCCCACTGTCCCTGCCCCTCCCCTCAACCACACAAGCTGTTGACTGCTGTGAACTGGGGAAGTGGCCCCAGGAAATGAGCCTGCTTCCCCTAACCACCACAGCCCCTGCCTGTACAAAGAGACAGGACCCCAAGCTTCTGCTGTAAAATCAACAAGGCAGATCTCCCCAGGTGAACTGCAACAAGCCTGCTGTGAATTGCTACAGAAGGCCCACACAGTGGAATCTGCTCTCATAGTCAACGCTCTACCTGCTTCCCCATGAACCCCATTGCTCAGATCCCTGAAATCAACGGGACAGACCTCCCGGGGAGTCAGTTCTTGTCTGCCTGCTCCCCCTTTCTGTCAGTGTGAGGACAGCTGACTGAGCTGCTGTGTGCTAGGAAGCAGGCATCTTTAGTGAAGGATACACCCACAGCAAACATACTATAGGGAAGGTTCTGATAGCAACAAGGCAGACCTCCCTGGAGGTTCATTTGGAGCATGATAACCCCTAGCCTACTTGGGCACTGTCACTTTCAAGCTGGCTGTGAACTGCTACAGAAGGCCCTGCAGTGGATCCGGCTCCCATAGTCAGCACTCTACCTGCCTCCCTGCACTCCATAGCTCTGGCCTCCTGAAACAAACAGGACAAATGAAACTTCTTTGGGGGTTAATTAGGGTTAGTCTATCCCCATTTCCAGTTGGTGCTGAGGACTGCTGACTGAGGCTGCTCTGTGTTAGGAAGCAGGAGTCTTGGGTGGAGGCTATTTCACAGCCAACAATCTACCAGGGGGACTCCGATAGCAACAAGTTAGGCTTCCACAGGGATCTGGCCAGAGAATGAGACCCCCTCCCCCACCTGGTAATTGTTGATTGCCAGGCTGTTGCAAACTGCTACAGAAGGCTTCAGCAGGGAAGTCTGCTCCCACAGTCAGCACTCTACCTGCCTCCCTGTGCACCTGATAGCTCAGGACTCAGAAACCAATACGACAGACAATTTGGGTCTGTCTGTTCCCCCTTACAGCTGCTGCTAGGGACATTTGACTGAGGCTGCTCTGTGCTAGGAAGCAGGCATCTTGAATGAAGCATACACCCACAGCCAAGATACTATGGGGTAGGCTCTGAAAGTAACAAGGCAGACCTCCCTGGGGGTCCGTTTGGAGTGTGACTATCCCTCCATCACCCAGTAACTGTCAGCTGCTGGGCTGATACAAACTCCTACAGAAGAGTCCTTCAGGAGGTAGGTCACTCAAGTGGAGACTGCTCCCCCCAACAACCACAGGCCCCCTGGGGCTCCGAAATCAACAAGACAGATCTCAGAGGTCCTTCTGGGGAGTGCCAGCCCCTTCTCCTCCTGAAACATAGGAAAGTCTGCCTGTGCTTCCCATGAATGCCAGCTCACATATAAGAAGCCTCCACAGAGCAGGGAAGGACACCTTGGGCAAAACTGGAGGGCAACACCTAGCCCGAAGGGGACTCGCTGGGTGTGGGTTTCCAGGCTAAAAACACGTGCATAAACAGAGAAGGGAGTAATAACCAAAGAAAGAGGACTGTGCGCCCTGGTGGACAGATTGATGAGTACACAATATCTCCCCTGAGATAGTACAGGGTATCGGACAGATTGACCACAGCATGTTCTCTGGTGTGTTTGGGAGAGATTGAAAGTTGAAAAATGAAATCTGGAACTTCTGAATCCTAATTAAACCAAGGAGGAAGACGGCATTATCACAAAGAGGAAGAGGAAACAGTAAGCAAAGGCTGAAGTTTCTGCCAGCCTAAAAGGCTCTTGCAGAGAGTAGTGCAGACAAAAACACCAAATACTGGGGAAAACTGAGAAAGTTAACACTCTAGAAATTTCAATGCAAAAAATCACAAGACATACAAAGAACAGAGAAACAATGGCCTGTCCAAATGAACATGACAAAAAGAGTGAAAGTGCATCTAGGGATGACCAAATAATTTTTTAAAAAATGGAAGACTATAATACAACAGCATTAAATTAAGAACTAAGAGTAAACACAGGCAAAGAACTAAAAGAAATAAGGAAAACAATGCAAAAACAAAATGAGGATGTAACAAAAAAGACATTGTAACTGAAAAGGATAATAACTGAAATAAAAAAACAATAGGAGGACTTAGCAACAGATTTAATCAGGCAGAAGAAAGAATCAGTGAATAACAGGATAAGATAGTTAAAATTACAGACACTGAAAAGCAACAAGAACAGAGGCTGAAGAAGACTGAGCATGGCTTAATGCAATTATGGGCCAATAAGAGACCTAATATAAACATCATGGGTATTCCAGAAGGAGATGAGAGAGAGAAAGGGACAGAAAGAATACTTGAAGATATAATGATGGAAAATTTCCCCAACCTAACAAAAAACATGAATCCACAAACCCAAGAAGCTTGAAGAACCCCAAGCAGTATAATCCCAAAGAGATCTACACCAAAAAAGATCAGAGTTAGGCTCTCAAAGATTAAAGATAAAGACAGTATCCTGAAAGAAATGAGAGAGAAGCCAACAGTCACATACAAAGGATCCCCAATAAGATTAAGTGCCAGTTTTTTCCTTAGAAACACTGAAGGCCAGAAGGCAACGGAATTATATATTTATAGTGCTGAAAGAAAAAAATTGTCAACCACGTATGCTATACCCAGCAAAACTACTCTTCAAGAATGATGGTGAAATTAAAACATTCCCAGATAAAGAGAAGCTGAAAGAGTTCATATCCACCAGACCAGCCCTACAAAACATCCTGATGGGAGTTCTGTAGATAGAAGGGAAAAGACACTAGAAAGTAATTCAAA